GTGTACACTTTATCCGCAACATACGTCCTGGATAAACGTGCTCCGTGCTATACGTCTGTTTCCTTTATAGTTGGGCTCTAGCTTAGCTTGTTCTGGGAGTCTAGCTAGATGTTGGAGAATTCTCCGTGCTACTCGTCTGTTTCCTTTATAGCTGGGCTATGGTTTAGCTGGTTCTGGGAGTCTAGCTAGATGTAGGAGAATCTCCCTGGTTCTGGGAGTCTAGCTAGACGTTGGAGAATCTGCCGTTCTGGGAGTCTAGCTAGATGTAGGAGAATCTGCCACAGATATAAACGCGCTCCGTGCTACACGTCTGTTTTCTTTATAGCTGAGCTATAGCTTAGCTGTTCTCTAGCTAGAGGTTGGAGAATCTGCCATAGAGATTTCTGATTCCTAGCTAGATGTTGGAGAATCTGCCATAGAAATTTCTGAGCCGGTAGCTAGATGTTTGAGAATCTGCCATGGAGATTTCTGAGTCGGTCTAGATGTAGGAGAATCTGCCAAAGAGATTTCTGAGTCAGGAGAATCTGCCATAGAGATTTCTAAGTCAGTCAGGCTTTACTTAGGGATCTGCCATAGAGATTTCTGAGTCAGTCAGGCTTTACTAAAGTGGCAATCCGCTACAGGTCCCATCTTATTGATTTCCATGTCCCGTATGTGCCTTTGGTTTGAACTCTCAACGTAACCAAAAATATTGACATTTTGCAAGGCATGGTGGAGGCGTATTTTTTTCTCATAATGCATTATGTGGTCCTATCATATGTTGTATTTATTTAAACCTATTTACTAGTTGTATAGTTTTGCTTGATCAGATAGAGCAGTTTGAGTAGAAATCACATTTTTCGCTTTCATGACTGTTTTTAAGCCTAATCTTCACCATTTCGATTTAGGCTAAGGGAGCTTATAATATTTCGCTGATACTGGAATTTTTCTCATCTCTTAAACTAAAATTCACACCGTCTTATTGGTATTCAGATCTGCTATTGGTGTACAAAAGACAAGGTAGTTAAACCATCAAATTGCAAGATATTATGCTCAATCCTGTTATTTACATGCCTTCAAGCTTGTGCTGTCCGTTTTTTAGTGATGAGGCTGTCGAACATAGCAAATATCCGAAAGTTGCCTACACATGTTCCTCAAAGTGAGCTGAACAAAGTATCCCCCCCCCCTCCTCCCTCTCTTCAAACTTAAACCTCTCCGGCCATGTTCCGTGATATTTAAATGGAGATCAGGCTCATAGATAAAATTTCGATTCTCATTTTCACACTCTTCAGCATCTTTAACTGTAAATTAGAAGGTAGACGCCCATTGATGCGCAGGCCTTGGTTGGACTGGCTAATTACAGCCCTACAGGAGGGATAGTAGAATGCGAGGTGGCCACATGGGTGGCTTCAGAATATCAAATCAGGTTAACACTTGCCCTATTAGGATATGGAATTTTCAACCTTCTTGGCACAAAATGTCTACACGGGTTACAAATTAATGGCACGAGGTTAGGGCGTCGATCGATATGTCTTGCTTTTAAAAAGCATAACTTCAGCGTGATAATTGGCATAAGTAATGCACGGTACACAGATCGATGAACTCTTTGAAAATCACATTGGAGGATTGGGACTTTGGCAACTTCTTATTATTCTCATGACTTCTATATCATTCTCTAACAGTGCAATCCTCTCTGTTTTCTTCAATGCGGTTCCGAAACATCGCTGTCGTGTTGATGAAGCTAATGAAAACCACCTTAAGGACTGGAATTTTACAGACGCAGCTCATTTAATTGGCCCTGTTGATACTTCTAATAATCAATTTCGTCAGTGTGGTAGATATTCAAGCGAACTTCCGTTAAATTCTACTATTGCTGGTATCTACCTTTACACGAATGCTCGAAACATAAATGTACTCGAGTACTCTTGCCCTGATGGATATGTTTATGAGTACAGAAGTGAGCAATATAAGTTTGGAATTGTACAACAATGGGATCTGGTTTGTGATAAAGCCTGGCAAGTGCCTTTTAATGAAAGCGCTTACATGATCGGGATGATGGTCGGTTTTATTCTAGGCGGCTGGATGAGCGATCGAATTGGCAGGCGCAAGGTTATGCTAATATGTGGATGCGGTGAATTCGTTGCTAGCCTATTCACAGCTCTGAGTTTGAACCATTGGTTTTACATTTTTGGTCGAACAATCGTAGCTACTTTCACAACTGCGCGTGGTTCCACTTATGTTGTTCTAATCACTGAAATCACAACGGCTAAAGTGAGAACTATTCTTTTTGCAATAGGCATGATTCTACAGGTTCTATTGCAGGGTGGTATGCTCGCAGCTTTGGCGCAAAATGTTGACAGCTGGAGACTCTTTATGTTTCTCAATAGTAGTCCATCTATCCTATCTATCGTCCAATTTTGGTTGCTCCCCGAGTCTCCTAGGTGGTTGGCTGCTTGTGATAGAGTGGAAGAGGCACGGCATGTTCTCTATTCTGCCTATCGATTTAATACGAAGTTACGAAAATCCTCGAATAACGGTGTCATGACAAGACAGGAGCTATTTAGTCGAGTTGGCATCAACTCAGACGACGAAAACTCGCATTTGCAATTACATTTCTTCTCTAATGAAAGCACTGGGGGTGAATTTTCAATTTGGAGACTGTTCAAACCTGGTTTGCTTAGAGTCACCCTTCTTGCAACCTTCATCCTTACCTGTCAAATAACTTGCACATTTGGAATCATATTCTTTGCTAGTAATATCAAAATCCACGTATCTTTTGTGGTTATTGTTAATTCTCTTGCTCAAATCCCTGGAAACATTCTAGCCGCAGTGCTCTACAAATATAGTCCATCTAGAAAAATTCCTCTTCTTATTGTCTACGCGGTCATTATTTTAATGTCATCTGTGGCTGCTTTTCAAACGATGTTTTTCAGACCCTCTACGGATACCATATTGAATGTTTTTGGTAATATTATTATTCTTTTTCTTATTGCTACACAAAGGATGATTTTCATCTATGTGCCAGAGTTGTATAAACCGATTTATCGAAACAGAGGATTTGGAATAGCATCTGGATTGGCCAGGTTAACGGCTATGTGGTATCCCCAAATCAACCGACTTGATGAAGTTGTAATGCATGGTTTTCCACTAGTGATTTATGCACTGGTTTTGGTACTTCAGTTGGTCTTCCTGGTATTCTTAGACGACACTACTGGTAAATCTCGACGTTCAACAACGATGATTAGAATAGAAGAACTGGAAGGATCCCAGCCGCAAACATCGAATGGAAACCCAACAACAACCCCTTCTGTACAAGATTCTACTGCATTGCGCCTTGCTTCTCAAGACGAAACGGTACCCTGAGTGATTACCTACTAGTAGAAATTAACTTAAATGTTTTAAATTTTCCAACAGTTTTGGTAAATTTTAACATGCTGCCAAATCTACTGGAACCTCATGCATTTGGATAATAAAGCCATTATTACTCATCAAATTAGTGATGGTCTGTCAAATGCCCCACTTCTGCAGTTCCACTTTTTGTGATCCTTCGTTTGGGGACGAAGGTCATGGTTGCCAACAATTGTGGAAGACCGAACCAGAAATTTCAAAGTAGGCATAAAAGTTTGTGTATCGGAAATGATAGATTTCGTCAACGCGACAATGCCCTCTAGTTCCACAAAGCAACGCATTCCAGGAGAAAACATCTTTGAGATATGATGAAGTGGAAAAGCTATTGAAAGAGTATTTGAATTCGAATCAGCAAGTTTGTTTCTAAAGCTGATGTCGAAAATTGCAATTTGTGTGGTATCATATGGATGATTTTAAGACGGGGGCAGCATTTTACTGTTATTTCTTATTTGTAACTGTTTCATTTAACCAACGCAGCTTATCGCTATCAACCTCATTTAAATCCCTTCGTAATTTTTGTAAAGGATAAATATCCTAAATTTTGGTTATTGGAACTCAGTTTAGAATTTCAACTTGAGATGCGAAGCTGTTGTTCATTCTGTCTTCTGTTACCAATGCATAATTATCTAGTAGCAACGAATTTACTTTTCATAAGGGAGTTTTAATCTGAAATTGATGAAATGGGTGCATATGATCGTTACACCTGACAACGACATGGGAGGAAGGGAGAAAGAGATAAAGAAGCAGAAGAAGTAATCTGGAGAAAGACAGTACTCAAATATGAGTTTCAGTGTTAATTTGTGGTTCATGGTTTTGCAATCGTGTTTTTTCTGACTTTTTATCACGAGCAGGAATTGTAGATCCTCCCATAGTGACCGGTGTATTGGGAGTCAAGGCCGCTGCATTTTTCTTCCTTCTAGCACCCTTTAGAGCACCTTGAATTGCTGCTTTCACTTTGGAGGCATGATGCTGTCTTTCAGGAGACATTGACTGTCTGCCCTTAAGTGCCTTTTTCAACTTGCCTCCTCGCTCCACCGCACCCTCTGTTAAGACAGTGACCTGACGTCGACTCACCCAGACTGATGACTCATACTCGGAGTCTGTGACCTCATTCAAATTAATCACATCTTCACCTAACTTTGTATTCACAATTAGCTGAATGGTTGGTCGCTCAGAGGAGGGCTTTTGAATATCTTCCTGAGGAGTAGTCGCACTGTAGTGAAAAGGCTGTGACGAGGGTTCAGTAACAATTGGAGAAGAGATTACAGCGCCTGAGAACGTTAGGTTTGCTGGAGCCTCCATATTCTGATTCACTGACGAGGGGGGATCTTCAGTTGTTGAAAAACTTGGCGGTCTCTGTGATGTACCATTGACTATTGACGATGGATTATCGATAATGGAAACTGTCGGCGCACACGACTGAGAGAAGAATATTCCTTGGGGTGAAATTCCACCTAGAACCAAGTTTCTCGATTAGAATTGGTTCGACCAACTATTCATAACAAGTGAATTCAATTAATCTACCTTGAAATTGGGATTGAATATTTGGCTGTAATTGTGAATTTTGGGCAACTGGAACAAAGTATGGCGCTTGGGCAGGCACAAGAATTCCCTGTGGTGAAAGAACATAAGCTGGCTGGTAGAGGGACTGTTGTGCTTGACTGATATCGAAGTTCTGCTGGGTCAGCTGGAAAGGTGATGTATAGATTGATTGAGTCCCTTGAGGAGGTGGACACCAGGGGACACTAGGAGATAGTCGCAGACCCTGTGGAAAAAGTGCCTGCCATTGACTAGGGTCAAAGCTCGTCGAAATTGACCACTTTGCCGTTTGAGATTGTTGTTGATGAGGTGGGATTGGAACTGAAGCTCCTGGGTTTGAAATTGGTTGAAGCTGTTGACTTGAACTCAAGTGAGGTGGAGGCATTCGTACCGCGTTCATAAGTGTAAGGGATGGTCGAGCGTAGGCACCGCTAGTCATTTCTCCTAAAATTTATTCGCATAGTTCTTTAGCTACAATGATCTATTTGCGTATTTGGAAATTCGCTTATGATATTTTGGGGCCATATATTAAACTAGACACGGGGTGCGCGATAAACTTACCTCCACGTGGTGCATCCTGAGCAACGTATACTCATACGGCAAAAAAGTCTATAAACCGGCAGTTGACTTCTGACTTCAAACTACCATGACCCCACTGTATGCCATATTCGACTACTTCAACAGTACTCATCTTACCTTTTCTCGGCCTATGTGACTATCTTTCACTTTACATCTGTGAATCACTCTTCTTT